ATCCACGTGGGCAGCATCCATGGATTTAGGGAGGGGAGGGGGGGTCCCCACGGTGTGACCCCGGCCCTGCAGGGACCCCAGGAGGGTTTGGGGTCCTGCTCCAGGGCTGGAGTGAGGTGCAGAGCTGTGCGAGGTGTGGGAACATCCCGGAGATTGTCCCGGAGATGGGAATTGGGGTTCTGGGTGGTGGGCACACCGGAGTGCCCTGGGGTAAGCAGGGTGCCCCCCACATGCCCACCCTGTCACCCTCCACTGCACCTTCAGCAACGGCCTGAGAGAGGTGAAAGAGCTGCAGGGTTGTCCCAGTGATGGAGATTTGGGATGGGACAGAGGTGGGAGTGCAGGGCAGGACAGGGATGGGGACATGGACAGGACAGGAATGGGGACATGGGATGGGACAGGGATGGGGGCACAGGATAGGGCAGGAATGGGGACATGGACAGGGCAAGAACAGGGACATGGGATGGGGCAGGAATGGGGGCGTGGGATGGGGAAGTGATGCTGATGCAGGACAGGACAGTAAGGGGGACACAGGACCAGGTGGTGTTGGGGACACAGGACCAGGTAGTGATGGGGACACAGGACCAGGCAGTACTGGGGACACAGGACCAGGCAGTACTGGTGACACAGGACCAGGCAGTGATGGGGACACAGGACCAGGTAGTGTTGGGGACACAGGATCAGGTGATGTTGGGGACACAGGACCAGGTGGTGATGGGGACACAGGACCAGGCAGTGACGGGGACCAGCCCTGCCAACATGAATCTGCCATGTTTTGCCAACGCTTCTCGAGCTCTATTCACCACCTCCCCTGGACCCATCAGCGTCTCCCTGAGCCCACCAGCCCATTCCACGCCATTCCTGGCTAATGGCTGTTTTCACACCTCTGCCAAGGGCCGGCGGGACCGGATGAGCCCGCAGGGTGATTTATTTCAGGCAGGCTGATGGCACAAGTGTTCAGGAGAGCGGCAACAGCTGTTCCGGCTGTTCCAGCACAACGTGGGGTCGGGATCGAATCCTTGGGGATAGCAGGAGTTGGGGTGATGCCCCAGGGATGTTGGGCACTGCCGTGGGGTGGGGTGGGGGGCAGCAGAGCTGGGGGGAGAGCTGGTGAGGATCTGGGGTTCGCTTCCCAGCCGCTGCGTGAGACCAAGATTCAAGTCAAGGCTCCCATTAATCCAGACTTTAATCCGCTCTAAATCCCACCTTTAATCTGTTTAATGCCACCTTTGGGTATTAGGATCGTGTGCCGTGGCTTCTGCCCACCGAGCCAGGAGGAGGAGGAGGAGGAAGGGAGCTCGCAGTGGGGGTGCAAACCTGGGCACGGCTCCGTGGGACTGTGGCATCAGGGGGATCTCCAGCACAGGGATGAGCTGACAGCCCCGCCCCGTCCCACCCCTTCCCAGGGCTGTTAAATCGCCTCGTGGGCCCCTCCAGACGAGGGGGGACGTGTCAAGACCTCCGGGTGCTGCCCTCGCTCAGCCCGGTCTACCAGCGCCCTCCTAAGTTGTTGCTCGTAAGCGCCGTGGCACGGCGTCCCTGTCACCCACCCGTGCCCTCACCACCCACTCGTGTCCCGTCACCCACCCATGTTCCCATCACTAACCCGTGTCCCGCCACCCACCCATATCCACATCCCCCACCCGTGTCCCCATCACTCATTCAGGTCCCCATCACCCACCCGTGTTCACTCGCCCACCAGTGTCCATCACCCGCCCGTGTTCCCTCATCCACCCGCATCCCCATCACCCACCCATACCCCACCCCACCGCGTCCCCATCACCCGTGTCCCGAGGGTCTCGTTCCCCCCCCCTCCATAACGGGACCGTCCCACGCGCGGGACTCGCGAAGGCGCGCCCGCCCGGCCCCGCCCACACCCCCGTCCGAGCGCTCCCATTGGCTGCTTCGTAGCAAGCCCCGCTCCGCCATTGGCTGGAGCCGCCCGCGGGACACGCCCACCCGCCCCCGCCCGCCCCCGCCGCTCCCGGGACCGCGCGGGACTTGGAGCGACCACGGGCGGGAGGGCCCGGGAACAGGGACCGGGAACAGGGAATAGGGACCGGGAACCGGCACCCGACACCGGGATCCGAGAGCCAGGGATAGGCACCGGGAATCGGCGCTGGGAACTGGCAGCGAGAACCGGCATCGGGCATCGAAGACCGGGCACCGGACATCGACGCGGGGCACCGGCGCCTCCACCGAGGACCGGGCACCAGCTCCGGGCACCGGGAACTGGGATCGCATCACCGGTACCGGCTGCGGGGCCCCGCCGGGCAGGGAGAGGCGCCGGGGGAAGCGGGACCCCCCGCCCGGCCCGGCCCGGCGCGCCGGGGGCACCGGAGCAGCCCCGGTCCCGGTCCCGGTCCCGGTCCCGGTCCCGGCGCCGCCCTCCTCGAGCAGGCAGGTAAGGGCCGGCCGGGCTCTGCCGCCCACCGAGATCAGCCCCCCTCCCCCGGCACCTCCCGGTACCTCCCAGCACCTCCCGGTTCCCTCCGGCCCCCCCGGTATCCCCGTTTCCCCCGGTCCGTGGGGTCGGGGGTTCCCGGTACCGGCCCGTTTCGTGCTGCGGGACGGGCAAGCGGGGCGAATCCCGGGAATCATTTCTGTGTGTCCCCCCTCCCCGGTGTCACCGGGCACCGACGTCCCCACCCAGCCCCCTGGGAGCCCCGGGGGGAAAGGAGGGTTTGGGAAGCCCCGCGGGGCGGGAGCTGCCGGGTGGGCAGAGCCTGGCGCAGTTCCCGGCAGCCCCGGGCCGTGCCTCGGTTTCCCCAGGTGGATAAAACACGAGGAAAGGGCGATTTCCCCCCAAATCCAGCGGAAATCCGGGGGGGCTGGAAACGCCACCGGGCCCGGTGGGTGCTGGTTAACGGGAGAAGGCACCGGAGCCCCCGTCACGGGGCCATCCCAGCCCCACGTGCGAGGGCAGGGCCGGGTGCCCCATGGCAGCACTTGGCTTCGGGCATTGCCAGTCCCTCCTCCCCTCCCTGCGCTCCAGAGGATGAAATTCCTCCATTCCCGGAGAGACTAATCCCTCTGGAGAGGTCAGATCCCACCCGGAGCAAGGGTTTGGTGCAAAACTTCCCAACTCTGACCCACCTCCCTGTGGAGCAGGGAAGGATCTGGGCCATAAACATTCTTTGCTGACCCCAAGTCTTGATTGTCCCGTGGAGTTTCCTTCCCTCCCGGAGCGACTTTGTCCTCCTGATCCTGGGGTAGGAAGCATGTGATGCCCCCCTGGCTCCCACCGCGGGCCGGACAGACGGAAGGATGGTGGTTTGGCCTCAGTTTCCCCTCTCCCACCCTGTGTTTTCTACTTCCCCATAAGTCTCCGTCTGCTCCGAGCGAAGGAGAAAGGAAGTTGCTGCCAGAGAGAGCAGCTTGATGGCAGCTGGAGAAAGAAAAGGAGGAAATGGAAGGCAAGACAGATGCTTCAAAATACCCCCCCCTTCCTCCTCCTCCTCCTCCTCTCTGTAAAATACCCCCCCCCCTCCTCCTCCTCCTCCTCCTCTCTGTAAAATACCCCCCCCTTCCTTCTCCTCCTCTTCCTCCTCTCCATGAAATAAACCCCCTTCCTCCTCCTCTTCCTCCCCATTCTTTCCATAAAATAACCCTCATTCCTCCTCCTCTTCTTCTTCCTCCTCTCCATAAAATAACCCCCATTCCTCCTTCTCAACCTCCTCCTCCTCCTCTTCCTCCTCCGCTTCCTCCTCTCCATTCCGCAGCTGCCTCCCCCCGGGGCACAGTAATCCCGGGGGGAATTCCTTGATACTCCACCAGATCCTCAAATCAGCCCCCCCAGGATCACCACCACCCCTCTTCCCCCGTGTGCCGGGATCCCATTCCCACGGGAAGCGCCGGCTGGATTCACCACCACCCACGCCCGGGGTTGGCATCGCCGGAGCCCCCTCGGATCGGCCGCCCGGCTCCTTGCACAGACACGTTGGAGCTGCCGGGGCGGATCAGCATTCCCAGGCAAAACCAAAAAAAGCTTCTCCTCCTTCCCATGGGTGCATCGATGCGGGAAGGAGATTTTGGGATGGTGGAGGAGCTCAGCTCCCGATGCCCGAGGTGTCAGGGGCAGGGCAGGGATGGGGCCGTGCCAAGAGTGGTGCCGATGCCTCGCGGCATTCCCGGTCCTCGCTCCGGCCGCGGGTTCATCCCGGCCTTGCCAAGAGCCGAGTCCTGCCTCGGGAGAGGTGTTTACTCAGCGGCTTCCTCCCCGGCCTCGCCCCGCTGGGCACACACGCGCCGGATCCGTGTGTGATCCGTGTGTCAGCCCCGCGGCTCCGGCTGCTCTCGGCACCCATGGCAACCTGCACGCGCCCTCCCTCCTCCTCTCTCCCTCCTCCTCCTCCTCCTCTGCTCTTCCAGCGCTGGTAAAATTGGGCTGTGGGAGCTGGAGGGGTCACGGGTGGTGGGGGACAGGCTGGTGGGGCTCTCCGGTTACTTCCCGGCGCTCCGGCCCTGTAATCCAGCACGGCGGCGTTTAATTAATTAACAGGGGTTGGAGTGGGTGGAAAGCGATGCCAGGGGACGGAGCAGGATCCCATCCACCCCCCTGGCACTTGGCCAAGGATCCGGGGGGAATGGGAATGCTGGGGTTGCAGAGCCAGGGGTGTTTTCCGAATCTATGGGAGGAAACAGCCTGTGGGATGGAGGGAAAACCAGGGAGATCTCCACTATTAAATGTTTATCCTGGTTGGGAAACGATGTTCCCGTGTTGGAGGGAACTTGTAGCAAGACACTATGAGTTCCTGTGGCCCTGGGGAGGAGGAGGGGGAGGAGGAAAAGGAGGAGGAGGCAGAGGTGCCTCTGCTCTGAGCTGGAGCTTTGCAGAGCCTCCCCCTCTGCGCTGCTCCATAAATTATTGAAGTGCTTTCCCTTTCCTGCATGAAATATTCACCCGCTGCCAAGGGAACTGGGGGAATTTGGGGGGTGCCACTGGTGGGAATCAGGTGATGGGGACAGTCAGGGTGAAGGACCTTTGGGACAGGTAGAAATGATATGGGATGGTGTCACTGCTGGATTTGGCCCCTTTCCACAAAGGAGCTCCAGCTGCTGCTCACTTGGCAGCTCTGCCGTGGCATGTGCTGGTGCCACCAGTGCCAGTAGCGTGACGGGGTCTCGTGTTCCCCTCGAGCTTTAATTGATGCTTGTGCCCAAAATGGTGTGGGAGATGTTTTTTGGGGGTCCCTGGGGGGCGGAGGTCGCAGCCAGGCGTTGGGTGAGGTGCTGTGGGTGCCGTCCCGGTGCGGTGAACACCAAACCACCGACGGCGTGAGCCCATCCCCGGGGGAGCACACCCATCCCACGGCAGGGACACCCTCTGTGTCCTCCCACAGGACATCCCCACCTCCACACCACCGCTCAGGGCTGCGAAACTACCCCCCCAACCCCCAAACCTCCAAAATGGGTGGGAACCCCCCCAAAAAAGGGCTGTGAGCATCCCCCAAAGCCACTGCTGGCACCGCAGCCCCGCCGCGCTCTTCCGGAGCTGGGAGGGACTCGGTGACAGCAACACCCGGCTGGCTGCTCCTTTTCGGAAGAAGAAGCTGTTTTTGAGGGTGTTTTCATTAAAAAGAAGAAGGGGTGTGTGTGTGTGAGGCGGGGGGGAAGCCAAACCCTGAGCCGGGCTGGAAACTTGAGCGACAGGAAGGAAGCGAAGTGGGTTATTTCAGGCTCGCGTTCGCTCCTCGGGGCAAGACTTGGCCTCTTCCGCGCGCCCACAGCAGCCCCTCGGCGAACAATGGGGTCGCAGGGCCCTTCCCGGCAGGAAAGCGGCTCGTTCCGGTGAAATCTCCCCGCTGGTGCTGAGTCAGCAGGTCCCGGCGTGGTGCAGGGGGTGCCCGGTGAACCGTCCCGGTGCCGAGCGGGAGCCAGCGGGAGGTGAGCTTGGATTTGCTTGGGGCGTGCAGGGGGCGACCCCGTGAAGCAGCTCACGGGAGCTGGTTGCATTTTTGGGGTCCCTGTCCACCACTTTTTGGGGTCTGTAGAGACCCCTCCGTGCCTCAGTTTCCCCCCGGGAGTGACGCTCCTTGCCCCGGTTCCCAGCAGGAGAGGGCTGTGTTTGCTGCACGGAGCGGAGGGGCTGATCCGTTATTCCAGTTGGCATCTGGGAGCTGCGGGCAGCTCTCAGGAGATGGCACTTCCTATTTTTGATGGGCTCTGGAGGCGGAGTTTGCACTTTGTTTTATGGCTGCGGTCGCCCGGTGTGGGAATTCCTATTTATCCAGGCACAGCTCCCGGCGGGGAGCCCAGGGCACCCCACAGCCACGAGGGAGGGCACTTCAGGGTGACAAAGCCCTGCTCCTTCTGGAGAGGATGCCAAAGGAAGTCCCCTAAGAGCCAAGGGAGAGAAGACAAAGCCAGGCTGGTTCTTCCCACCCTGCCCGTCCCTCCGGGCTCGGCTCCGGTGGCACCTCCTGGACGCAGCCTTGGCACTGAATGGGCCCAGAGCTGCTGTCACACGACCTCTGCGGTGTCATTTTTGTCTTGTCTGGTGCAGGAGCCTCACGCTGGCAGAAGTCGATGCTTTCCCCCTGAAGGAAGCGCTTCCAAAGCTCTGTGTTTTTCCCAGGGGCCGTAAATAACGCTGCAGGCAGCGGCACACGCGGCGGCTCCATCCCTGCTCCCGTAATTCACGTCCCCGCAGAGCCTTGGCTGCCCTTGGGGTCAGGGAGCTGGAGGCTGGAAGATGCTCAGGGAGCATCAGGGCTCAGCACCACTGTTGTCCTTGCACAACTGGCTGGGTGAGCCTTGGCTCTGTGGGTAGCTGGGATTTGCTCCTGAGAGCCTGGCGTGTGCTCCAGAGTGGTAGGAGCAGGACTGGGGATCCCCAAAGGGGTCTGGGACTGGGTGGCACCTTGGCCTGGGGGGCCACACAGAGCTTCCTGTGGTGGGGACAGGCTCAGTTCTGTGCTGGAATCAATGGTTTGGGCTGGGAGGGAAATTAAAGCCTATCTTGTTCCACCCTCTGCCATGGGCAGGGACACCTCCCACTAGCCCAGGTTGCTCCAACCTGTCCTTGGACACTTCCAGGGATGGGGACAGCCACAGCTTCTCTGGGCAACCTGCACCAGGGCCTCCCCACCCTCCCAGGGAAGGATTTCTCCTCAATATCCAACCTAAACCTGCTCTCTCTCCACGGCCAATTTATCCCCATCCATCCTCGCACCGGCAGCTCACATCCTTTAGCTGAAACACCTCCTCTCCCCTGCCAGGGGATGTATTTATAGCCTGAGCCCATCCCTTCCCGCCCTGCCGGGCTGCCCGTGCCACGTGCAGCCTCTTGCATAAGCAGCCCCAGCTCTGCCCATCCATCCTGGCTCTCCGGAGCCGGTTGTTGTTTCTCCCGCTGTTCTCGCCTGCCCGTGATTTGTAGCTCTGCAGTTTCCCGGGCCAGGGTGCGTTTTCTCCAGGGTCAGCAGCGGTTTTGGTCTGCCCGAGGTGATGGATTTGGTCCCGCCGGGATGCGGGAGCCGGGCTGGAGGTGAGGGCCGTGTCTCCCTGAATCATTCACCTCCGCGCTGCGCTCGTGCCGGCGCTGGAGGCAGAACAAGCCCGAGCTCGTGTGGGTGGATCAGGGCAGTGCCAGGGGAAAATAAAGCATCCCACACAAATCAGAGAGCGCTGCAAACCGGCCGTGCCGCTCCGGCCTCGCCGAGCGCCGGGGGTGGATGCGGCGCGAGGCCGTGGGGGTGACTCAGCTGTCACCTGGGCTGTCCCCAGCTCACCCCGCAGGAAATGAGTCAGGGTTTAAGGAAGGAAAAATGTCGAAGGGATGGGGCAAAGAGCCCTTCCTGCCTCGGGAGCAGCACCCAGACCCAGCCGGCATGGAGGGTCACGGGCGGTGCTCAGGTAGGGACGCCTCGCTCGCCGTAGGTTCTCCACAGGGTTTGGGAGAAGGAAGGTGGGAACATCCCACAGCTCATCCCACTGTCCAAACCCAGGGTGTGAGCTCGGTTCTTGCCTGCCCTGGCACCCAGCAGCTGCCTGGGTCTGGCTGTCGGCTGGAGGTGCTTTTTCTCCTGCCAAAAGGCTGTGTGGGAAGGTGAGGAATGGTAGAACCATGGAATGGTTTGGGTTGGACGGGACCTTAAAGCTCAGGCCTGTTCCACCCCCTGCCATGGGCAGGGGCACCTCCCACCAGCCCAGCCTGCAGGTGAGATGGGGACGGACACAGGGCGTGGTCTGACCTGTCTGTGCCTCTTGCCCTCACAGGGATGGACACCTTCAGCACCAAGAACCTGGCCCTGCAGGCCCAGAAGAAGCTCCTGAGCAAGATGGCCACCAAAACCATCGCCAACGTCTTCATCGACGACACCAGCAGCGAGATCCTGGACGAGCTGTACCGGGCCACCAAGGAGTACACCCACAACCGCAAGGAGGCCCAGAAGATCATCAAGAACCTCATCAAGATCGTGATGAAGCTGGGCGTGCTGTACCGCAACGGGCAGTTCAGCCCCGAGGAGCTGCTGGTGATGGAGCGGTTCCGCAAGAAGGTTCACACCCTGGCCATGACGGCCGTCAGCTTCCACCAGATAGACTTCACCTTCGACCGCAGGGTCATGTCGGGGGTGCTGCTGGAGTGCCGGGACCTGCTGCACCAGGCCGTCAACGGGCACCTGACGGCCAAGTCCCACTCCCGCATCAACCACGTCTTCAACCACTTTGCGGACTACGAGTTCCTGTCGGCGCTCTACGGGCCCTCTGAGCCCTACCGCACCCACCTGCAGAGGATCTGCGAGGGGGTCAACAAGATGCTGGAGGAGGACAACATCTGAAGGGGCTCTGCCCTCCTGGGAGGCTGCAGTTGGGCTGTTTGCCCGCCCTGGCGTTCCCCTCCTCCTCTGCAGTGCTCACTCGTTTGCTCCTCGTTCCTGCGCAAGGCTGAACATCTTGACTTTGCCCACCCCTTGCCCAGGGGCTGCAGAGCCCTCCCTGTGCTGGGCTGAGCCTTCTCCAGGGCATCCTGGGGGTTTGGGCTCTCCTGCTGTACAGTTTGATTTCTTTTGCCCACCAAGTGTCCTTAGCTCAGAGTCCAAAGACTCTCAGCCTTGAACTCTGTCAGAACCCTCTGGAGGGGGGAAAACCAAACCAAAGCAAAGCCTGGTGGGGTGGAACCCTTCTGAAAGGTGTGTCCGAGCAGGTGGGACGTTGCTGGTTGTGAGACCCCTGTTCCTGCAGGGTTGTGGAGCTCCATGGGTTTCTTTCAGCAGCTCCATAACACCAAATTGTGGTCCAGGCTTGTGCTGCCCAGGATGGGAAGGTGTGGGCTTTGCTCCCTCCTCAAAGACAAGTCCCTGAGAGCAGGAGGATCCCACCTTACCTGGACCAGGGAGCTGCTCCTTCCCTGCATCCAAGGTACCATCCAACCCCCATCTCCCCACCAGCCTCCGGTGATGGTACCACTGTCACGGCTCTGACGCCATCCTCGGTGGTTCTCCAAAGTTCTCCGTGGGATTTTAGCCATTTTCCACGTTGTCTGAGTGATGGGGGTTCTTTTTTAGCAGACTCTGTAGCCCTGACGAGTTATTTAAATAAACTCACCGTTTGGCCTGGGAGCTCCGTGGGGTGGGTGAGAGTGATAAAATGAGCCCTGGGGACAGCTGGGTGTGTCCTTTAGATGGTGATGGCTCTCTGTGGCCTGGGGTTTGTACTCCCTGGCATCGCTGCTGGCTGGGCTGTCCGTGCTCCGTGGCACAGCATGGCCAGAGCTGAACCAGTGGAACAAACAGGGTGTTAAATCCAGCATAAACCAGCAGCAAAGGTCTGGGATCCTGGGGAGAGCTGAGAATTGGGGTTGTTCAGCCTGGAGAAGGATCCAGGGAGACCTCAGAGCCCATTCCAGGGCCTGAAGGGGCTCCAGGAGAGCTGGAGAGGGACTTGGGACAAGGGATGGAGGGACAGAACAAGGGGAATGGCTTCCAACTGCCAGAGGGCAGGGTTAGATGGGATGTTGGGAAGGAATTCCTGGCTGTGAGGGTGGGAAGGCCCTGGCACAGGTTGGGCAGAGATGCTGTGCTGCTGCCCCATCCCTGGAAGTGCCCAAGGCCAGGTTGGAGCACCCTGGGCTGGTGGAAGGTGTCCCTGCCCATGGCAGGGGGTGGCACTGGATGAGCTTTAAGGTCCCTTCCAACCCAAACCATTCAGAGATTCTGTGCAATCCTGCTCCCAGCAGACACCCACTCGTGCTCCCCTGCACCCCCACGTCCCCTGGCTGCTCAGCAGGAGCCAAAAAGCACAACCCTGACAGCAGAAGCCGTGGGTGACTCCGCGGAGTCGGATCCAGGCGCGTCGGAACTCTCGGAGCTGCCGCCATCCCCAGCACGATCATCCCTGCCCTGAACACTGAAAACTGCCCTCTGGGCAGCCCAGGCACCACCCAATCTCAGCTGGCCTTATCTCCACCACCTCCTTGTGCCTGCTGTTCCACGGGATGTGGAAGCACAGAGCAGCTCCGTGGCTCCCGCTCGCCGCTCCCTCCGCACCGCTGGCTCGAGGCACTGATAACTTTCAGCCTGAGGAGATTAAATAAAAAAAAAGGAATCGAGCCCCTATCTCTTGTCATTTCGCAGCCCTGGCTCTGGCAGTCACAGATAATTGCGTGGCACAGCTCGGGGTGGGGGCAAAGCACAATCACAGGGGGGTGTGGAGGACACACCAGGGTGTCGGTACCAGGGGGAGCGGCCTCTGAGAACAATTCCCGTGCCCCCTGGGCTGGTGGCAGCTGTCAGGTGGGTGCTGGAGAGGAGCCAGACTGGAAATCACGGGCAGGTGTGGCGAGAGGGACGCACTGGCAGCCAGAAACGCCTCGCTGTTCTCTTCCTGGGGTGCAATTTCAGTGCCAGCTGCAAGATGCTCCTGGGTCACACATGAGCCACGCTCAGGTGAGCCCCACTCGTGGTTGTTCCCTTTGTCCCCGTGATTTCCTACAGCCCAGGCCCACAGTTACCCCACCCAAACTCCTGGCACCTGCTGCTCTTCACATCCAGGTGTCTAAGCTGAGTCTTCTTCCCCACAGCAAACATCCATGTCATCCCCAAATTCTTCCCTTTTTGGCCCAGGGAAGCCCTGGAGGGCTGACTCTCTGCCAGAAGAGCCATCTAACAGCCTGGGTTTCCCATTCCAGCCCTGGGAATTGAGTCCCTCTGCTCTGGTTCCCTCCAAGTGACTGGTTTAAACAGCAGAAGGGTCAGGGATCTGCAAATGCAGCTCAGAGCACAAAGTGGGAGCACACTGGGGACACCCCTGGGCCCTGCAGGTCATCCACAGGTCCATGAGGTGACACACAGAGGAGAAAAAAATGCATTTCAGAACAGCCTGGGGAACAGAGCTTGTAAAATCCCCAGTGCAAAGCACGCCCAGACTGCCAAAAAACCAGGGAACTGCCCCCAAAACGGGCAAATCACCTACCAGTGATCCCAGCCATCAAAAGGGATCAAAGGTGACAGTGCAAACTGACAACTGCAGCCTCGTTTGTCACGTGCTGGGCCTCTCTTTGGCTGGGCAGAACCCCCCCCAAACCCTCTGCAGCCCCCCCCAAAAATTCCCGTGGGCTCCTCCTGGCCAAGCAAACCCTGGAAGGTCCCTCCAGCTGGGGAAGGGCAGGAGCGACAGAGCAGAGCGACCCCAAGGCCAGAGCACGATGCTTCCTTGCTTTATTTGTGCTGTATTTACACAGGAAAGGAATTGCACATTCCCTGTTATTACTCTAGATAAGAAAACCCCCCCCCAAAAAAATCACTTTTCTGGTAGGTATAAAACAGTCCTGTGGTTGTGCTGAGACGTGCAAGTGTTGCTTGGGTTGGTTCCTGCTTGTGTCAGAATAAGCTGCTCTGCCTTTTTCCCCCCTCCAAGTCATCCCAAATCAGCTCTGGCAGGTCCAGGCCATCCACCCCAGGGATGATCTCTCAATAAGGAGTCAGAGAGCTTTGGTCAGCTCCATCCTAAATTAATTATTTCCCATCTCCCCTCTCCAGAGTTAACAACTTCCCTCCAGCAAACCCTGCTTAAATCCTGCCCCTTTATCTTCCTGCACTGCTCTTCCCAGCCAGGCAGATAAGGAACCACCCACCCTGTGCAGGCAGAAAGAGGGCCCAGAATGGCTGCCTGTGGATCAGGAATCTCTCCCAGGAGGTTCCCAGCTGCAGAGCACGCTGTCACCCTGACACCAGACAGAACAAAACGTGTCCTCACACCCCTCCAAAACCCTGCTTGGTGTTGGACCCCAGCACGTTTCAGCATGGAAAAAACCAGAAAAGTTTGGCCATCCCAGAAAGTAAAAAAAAACAAACCAAAAACCCTCAGTTAAACCAGGAATCCTCTTTTCCTGTCACGTTTTCTTCTGGTTAAAACACCCCCCTGGGGCCAGGACTTGGCCTGAGGGGGGGTCACAGCTCGTCACGGGGCGTTTTTGCTACGATGGTGAGCTTGGAGAGTTCAAAACGGAACTTTCCTTCCCTGTGAGACACTGCAGGGAGAGAGAGAGAGAGAGAGAGAGAACAAGCACAGGATCAACAGATGGGAAAGCACGACCAAAACAGCCCAAAAAAAGCACAAAGGCACGACCAAAACAGCCCTGCTGGGTCCCTGCCAGGGTGGGGAAAGGCAGCGAGACGGGCACTGAACTTCCTCCTCCTGCACGTGACGGGCTGGTGGCACAAACCCTCCTTCCTGCAGCTCCCTGAGCTGGAATGGGACCCCCAAACTCTGCACCCCCTGCCACTGCCCTTCCATCCACTGTAAATACAAAGGGACAGGATTTAAGCTTCAACTCCCACACCACCTCTCCTTTCTCCCCCAGCTCTCTCGGTCACAGACCTGTTGTTTCAGTGATTTCAAACTCTTCCTGTTTTAAGGGGATGTCGTTCTGGGCACCCACAGCAGCTTGAGACTGAAACAGGAAGGAAGAAGGTGTGAGAGGGTTTGAGGCAATCCAAGGAGTTACAGCATTTAGACCGAACAAACGGAAAAAATAAAAAAAAACCACGAATGAATTTGTGAGTTGTGTGAAGGAATTAAGTCCACAAAGGAAATCTGAAGGAAAATCTCTGCCTGTTTTTCCCACTTCTTATTAAAGCACAGACTGGTGTCCTTGGGGTGATTGAAAACCTCACCCCTGACGGCTGGGAAATGGAGGGATGAGCCAGACAAGAACGCCTGGAGAGGTTTTTATTTACTTTGCCACGTGCAGTTTGTCGAGGCAATCCAAGACTCCCGCTGTGCAGCGCCTTTTGGAGCCCCCCCTTCCCAGCAAACCCACGGATTTGAGGGGGCAGAAGCCCAGTGGAGCAGGGGAGCCCACCTGCAGCCCCCTCTCCTGCCTGCCACCAGTCTCTAACTGGGGAGGTGGTGGAGCACATTCCACTGCACAGATGTCTAATAAATGTTTTCCCTGCCTAATTCATGTTTTACAGCAGCCTCCCACACTGCTGCTTCCAAGGGATCAGCTGGGACTTACATAAGCCATGGCATGCTCTATCTTGGCTCCTTTCACTTCAGCTTTAAACTGGGTAAAGAAGAGATAAGACTTCCCCTGGGGCCTGGAACAAGAAAGCAGAGCCTTTGTCAGCGGCAGAGAGGGTGGAGGTGCAGAGGAGTGAAGGATTCCCAGTTCCCTCCCTCCCTCCACAGCCACCTCTGGATCTCCTGCAGCTCCATCCAGCACAGAGGGGGACAGAGAATTTAGGAACCAACGCTGGGTGAAGAACCCAGAGAGCCACAGAGCCACAGCACCCCTTGGGAGAGGAAAACCCTCCCTGCTGGGAGGCAAATCCACCTGGCAAGCAGGGTCCTGACCCCAGCAGAGGGTCCCTGTCCCACATCCCACCTGGCTGAGGTTACAGAACCCACCTCCAGATGGAGCAGGAGAAGAGCCCGTCGTCTTCGCTGATCCCAACGTTCATCTGCCATTGCTGAGGAGGGGAAAGGTCCAAACAGTCACTGGGGGGAAGAGCCTCGTGCTCCCTGCACATCCCAGGGGCCACTGACCCCCCTCTCCAGCTGCAGGATGAGCTCCAGCAGCCCTAAAATAACACAGCACTCCCTCCTGGCACCAAGCTCGGGGCCTGGTGGCTCTCCCTGCTCTCCACAATTCCATCAGTGCTGCCACAGAGAAGAGTTTAAAGTCTCACTTCCCTTTTTAGGCTAAAAAATCGGGACCTGGTTCAGACAGAACTTGAGAAAGTACGAACAAAAAGCCTTCCAGCCTCCCAGAGGGGACAGGAGTTACTCCTGAGAGGTCCTTCCCACCAGCTGGGGCATGGAAATGTCACTCCCAGTTCTCCAGAGACATCCAGCACGTTGTTAAGTCACAGAATCCCAGATTGGTTTGGGTTGGATCTGAAATCTCATCCCATTCCAACCCCTGCCACGGGCAGGGACACCTCCCACTATGCTCAGGGTGCTCCAACCTGGCCTTGGACACTTCCAGGGATGGGGCAGCCACAGCTTCTCTGCCTAACCTGTGCCAGGGCCTCCCCACCCTCTCAGGGAGGAATTCCTGCCCCATATCCCATCCATCCCTGCCCTCTGGCAGTGGGAAGCCATTCCCTGTGTCCTGTCCCTCCATCCCTTGTTACAACACACAGAGGACACTTCGGTGCAGGGAGCAAATCCAACAGTGCTGGAAAAGGTGCAACCCCCCTTCCTCGGAGCTCCTGGTCCCTGGAATCAGCTCTTCCCAAAGGAAACCCAGCTCTTCCCAAAGGAAACCCATCTCTTCCCAAAGGAAACCCATCTCCTCCCTCCCTGCAGCCCCAGGGACAGGGGGAGGGCAGGGTTTGCCCAGCTCACCTCGTTGGTCCCTCCCTGGGCCGAGTAGGTGAAGGTGCAGCTGTGATCCCCCTGCCAGGAGAGAGGGACAGGAGCTTAAGCAGGACCTTCTCTTGCACAGAATCAAGGAATTCTTTAGGTTGGCAAACACCTCCAAGACCCATCGAGTCCAACCATTCCAAGGCCACCACTGACCCACGTCCCCAAGTGCCACATCCACGTGGCTCTTAAATCCCTCCATCACTGCCCTGGGCAGCTGTGCCAGGGCTGGACAACTCTTTCCATGGAGAAATTTCCCTAAATATCCAACTAAACCTCCCCTGGTGCAACCTGAGGCCTCTCCCTCTCGCCCGGGGTTTGGGGTGAGGACTCTTGTCCTGGGGGACCCAGGGACCTGCAGCCCCTTCTCTTCTGGGCCCCTTCCCTTGCTGAGCCTCCTCCCCACGGGGACCTCCTTTCCTTGAGACTCCCTGCCCCTGGCAACCCCTCCCTGCCCTTGGGATACTTCATCCCTTTGGAAACCCGCCCTTGGGGACCATTATCCATGGCAGGCTCCCTTCCCTGGAGACCTCCTCCCTACAGAGACTGTCCCACCTTGGGGACCTCCTTCTGCTGGAGACCCCACTTGAGGGGACCCCCCTTTTCCCTGGGAGCCTCCTGCCTTTGGAGATTCCCTTCTTTGTGGTCCCCTCTCCTCCCTGGGGACCCCCTTCCCAGCCCCTCTGGGGACACACCCTCCCTTGGGGACCCCTTTTCTCTGGGGGATCCCCCTTCCTCAGGGGGATTCCCTCTCTTCCATGGCATCCCCCTGCCTTTGGAGCGCCCCTTGGGGACCCTTCTCTCCTTGAAGAACCCCCACTTTGGGATCCCCCCTCCTCCTGTGCCCCCCCCGGGATCCCCTCCCTCAGACACCCATTGAGACCCCCCCGCTGGTCCCGCCCTCCCTTCGCGCCCAGCCAATCCCCGCGGCGGGAGGCGTGAGCGACGTGGCGAGCAGCCAATCGGAGCGAGGCGCGTACTCCTCTCCGCTCCCGCTCCCTCCCTTCCCCTCCCTGCCTGCCGCTCACCAGGCTGCGGGAGAAGGAGTGAACCTCCCCGCCGGGCCGCACGTCGAACCCGGCCGAGCCCGGTTCCGCGGCCGGTTCTGCGGCCGCCCGGGCCGCGAGGCACAGCAGGGCGGCGGGGACGAGCGCGGCCCACGCCCGCCGGCAGCTCTTCCCCGTGGGCGCCGCCATCTTGGAAAGGAAGCGTGGGCTACGGCGGGCGGGAGGGGTCAGCGCGCGGCGGCGCCGCGGCCGCCATGTTGGATGAGGGCAGGGGGTGTGGGCAGGGGGAGTGTGCGGGGACAGGGGACAAGGGACAACAGGGACGGAGGGACACGGGGACGTGGGGCCAGGGGACTGCAGGGATAAGGGGCTGTAGGGACAGGGGACCACAAGGACGGGGTGCTGTGAGGCCACGGGGTCAGGGTACAAGAGGCGTTGGGACAGGGGACCGCAGGGACAATGGCCGTGGGGACAAGGGGCTGTGGGTGACACTGGGGACAAGGAGCCAGCAGTGTCCCACTCAGCCTGTGCCCCCGGGGCCACGCTCTGCCTGTTATAACCTTTCACAAACACGAAAACATTCCCTATAAGGCAAAACTTCCTTCCAAGGCAAAAGCTGTGACCCCAACAGCTGGTTTGGCTGCTGGCTGTGACCTGGGGACCTGGCAGGCTCTCGGGGTGGCAGCTCCGTTCCTGTAATGAATTTTCCTGAGCTCTGCTTACCCCCAAACCTGCTGGTTCTTTCCCTAGGCCTTTAGCCCGTCTAATTCCCACACAGGCTGTGCCTCGTGTCCCCTCTGCCCCCACTCACTCTCCAGGCCCAAAACCCCCAAAAAGGATTCTGTAATGGAGGGGAATAAAGAGCAGCACGAGGGAGAGGTTTGTTTTGTGTTTGTCACGCAGGTTTAAGGGGGCAAAGACCCAGTTTTTAAAGAGCTGAGGGTGCAGGGGCAGCACCGTCAGCTCAGGCCATAAAATCCAGCCCTGGCTCGTGGCCTTTGGGATTCAGCTGGAAGGAAAAGGGCAGGAGGAGGGGAAAAGGGCTGGAAGGGGAGGCCTGGAGAATTCCAAGCATTGTGCTGAGGGAGCACCCAGGTTGGACAGGGCTTGGAACAGCCTGGAAGGTGTCCCTTGCCTGTGGCAGGGAGCGAACAGGATGAGTTGTATGGACCCTTCCAACCCAAACCATCCCACGATTCCATGACAAGGACAACTGACCATGCCACTTTTAATTGCTTCTCGCTGCACACGAAGAAAAGCCCCTTTCTGGAAGGAAGCAGCGGTGGAAAAGCCCCTTTCCGGAAGGAAACAGCCATGGAAGTGCAGCCAGGGCAGGGAGTGGGGGCTGTCCTGGCTCAGGGCAGGGGGTAACTGGCCTGGTTGGCCACCCCACACTGGTTGCCGGCGTCCTTCAGCAGGGTCATGTAGCCCTGCTCTCCCCACGTCTTTGCCCAGCTGCAGGAAAAGATGGGAGTGAGCTCCTCCTTGGTCCCAGGCACAGGGAACAGCCCTGGCTGGAGGAGAGACGAGGAGGGGAACCAGAGCCCTCGTGGGACGGGGCCATGGGTTGGTGCTGGCCCTGGCAGAGCCAGGGGAGTGATGGGACTTGATCATAGAGGGCTTTTCCAACCTGGGTGACCCCGTGATTGTGGGAGGGGCAGCGGGTCCAGGAGGGGGACATGCTCAGCCCTCACCTGTTCTTTAGGATCCAGTAGCTGAGGTTGTGCCCACCCACCCGGGCGGTGCCGTAGCCCACGGCCAGCATGGCGTGGTTGGTGCTCCGGTTGCCGGAGCCGCAGCCGAAGATTCCTGGGGAGAGCAGAGCTGGGCTGAGCCGGGGGCCGGCCCCGCTCCCTCCTCCCCAGGGTGATAGATCCCACTCCCCTGGGGCAGCTCTGGGGCTCAGCAGCCCGGCCCTGCCTCAAGGAGCAGGCGGTACCCGAGCTGTAGAAGCGAAAGCCGCTGGCGTCCACCGACACCGACACCGGGCCCACGGTGGCCACCGCCTGCGCCAGGGCCTCCTCGCTGCCCTGCGCCACCCGCCCGAAGCCGGAGCAGTTGGCCGCCTTGTCCCGGGGGTTGTATCGGCAGCAGGAGTTGTCCTGGGAGAGGGAGGGTGTCACCGTGGCAGGGACACGCTGGCACTGCCCTGCCCTGGGTGCCCTGCCGTCCCTCACCGTGCCCGTGTAGGGGTAGAAACGCTCCGAGTTGAGGCCGCCGTTGTCGCGCACGTACTGGAAGGCTCGGTCCATGTGGCCGCCCCCGCAGCCGCGGTTGCCCAGCTCTCGGGTGCAGTCGATGAGGTTCTGCTCGCTCAGCACCACCAGCTTCCCCGTCCGCTTGAACATCAGCCCCTCCAGGGCCCCCGTGGCACTGAAGGCCCAGCAGGACCCGCAGAGCCCCTGGGGGAGATGGGATCAGTGAGGGGGGGGTGGGTCACGGCACTGCCTCAAAACCCCCCAGGCAGGGACTCTGTGACCCCCCCGGTGCTGCTTTCAGCTGTAAAGTCACAGAGCCCAAAACTACAGGACCTGCTCCTTTGGGTCACCCAGAGGATTTGGGGGGGATGGGGAGGATGCTGCTGCCTGGTTCTGCTGCCCAGACCCCCACAGCCCTGGCCGGACCCCCCACCCCGTGCCCACCTGGTTCTTCACGGGTGTCACGTAGCCCTTGGCCCGCCAGTCCACGCTCGCCGGGGTCTTCAGGGTGGCCGAGGCTCGGAAGACCGGCCCGATCTCCTCCTGCTGCGCCGGGATGAAGCCGTTCAGGAGCCGCTTAAACTCCTCGTTTGTCTGCAGGGCACCAAGGGAAACCCCCTGTGATGCCAAGGGCAGCACCACAGGGCCTCACCAGCCACCAACCCCTGGGAAGCAGCTGGGGGTACCCAGTCCCTGGACCGAGCCCTGGATACACCGAGGGGTCCCTGATCCCCGATCCAGCCCTGGGTGCTCCGGGGGGTCCCCAGGGAAGGTGTCAGCAGGTACCAGGTCCCCGAAGTGGTTCATGGCCAGGCGGTAGCTGTGCCTCCCCTGCTCCTCCTCCCGGTTGTGCCGCTGGACGTGGCGCAGGTTCTTCTCCCAGATCTCCCTGCGGAAGGTCTCGTCCTCCTGCCACAAGAATCGGGAATGTCCCCTGGGAGCACGGGGACACGGGATGAGGGTGCACACGGGTGGCTCTGGGGGAGATCCCCCAGAACCGACCCCAGCACGTGCTGGGAGTCTCGAGGGGAGCAGGACCTACCCCTGGGTACTCCTTGGCATAGAGACTCTTCCACTCTTCCCAAGCCTCCTCCAGGGCGGGATCCGGTGCGGCGGCGCAGCCCAGCAGGGCCAGCAGCACCCCCAGAGTCACAGCCAGGGCTCCCAGCTGGGGGCACGGCGAGAGCAGGGTCAGGGGAGCCCCAGGCTGAGCCCTGGGAGCAGCTCCAGCCTGGATTAGGGGAGAGGGGGGAGGCAGGGAAAGGCAAACGGAGCGGCCGAGCCAGAGGGAAGAGCGACACGTTGGTTCCATCAGCTGGGTCAGCTCCTGAGCAGCCTCGCTGCTGTTTGACAGCAGCTTAGGAGGTCTCAGCCGCCCTTTGGGTGGCATTTACTGTCCTTTTTGGAAGAGAGCAGGGCCTGGATGGCAGGAGGAGGCAAATCCAGGCAGAAGGGCAGCGAGGGCGGCAGGGATGGGGCTGGTTGTCCCCCCTGAGCGCCCCATGGCCTCTCCCTGTTCTTTATGTGCAAAATCCTGCTGGTTTCCTCCACCACTGGACTGTCCCTCTTTTTGCCCTTCCCACAACGGCTCTCCCAGCACCATCAAGGAGCAGGGTGAAGGAGCCTTCCCAGGAACTCAGCACCAGCAGGATGGAGCCCCGAGCAAAAGGATGAGGGGTCATGTCTGGACCCCTCCAGAGCAGGGCCCGGGTGTTCACCGGGGACAGCTCAACACGAGGGGATCTCCAAGGTCCCTTCCAACCCAAACCATTCTGTTATTCCACAATCCCAGCTTTGGGGAGCTTTGGGACCCGAGGCAGAGCCCAGCGGAGCAGGAGCTGCGATGACTCAACTGGATGGAGCTGTTTTCCCTGGAAATCCCCCAGAAATCCACTCCAGCCTCCGAGAGAGAGTGGCTGGGGATGGACCCAGAGAGAGGAGGTTTCTCTCCAGAGGCTGAGAAGCTGCTGCTCCACACCCAGGACTGAAGCCTCCCACCTGTCCCGGGGTGCCTGTGTGGACGTGCTCCACCAAAATCCCTCCGTGAGGATTTTCCAAGATCAATTTACACCCTTTTACACACACACACACACACACAGCCAGGCCCAGCCCTCCACCGCAGCCCCTGTGCCTTCCCCATGGATACCCCACACCTCCCCTGGGGGATCCTGGGATTTCTGAGCCACTCCAGGTATTTTGGGGGTGCTGCCTGCACGGCCCAGGCCAGAGATCAAATGCCTGAGACACCCCCAGCCCCCCAGACTTTCCACTGCTGTCACACCTTTATTCCACCCGCCCTGGGAATGGAGATGCCGGGAAGTTTTCCATGAGAGCATCTTTGGGGGCAAGGAGTGACTTTTCTGAGCTAATTCTGTAGCTGGAGGAGTGAGTTTTGTTTTAAAAATAAGCCCTCGAGAACATCTGTTCTCCCTCCACCTAAAAATAAAGCCCCACAGGGTGGGTTTTTGTGGCAGAAATGCCTCCCGAGCCACTCTCCAGTCCCAAATCCTCGAGGAAGAGCCGTTTTTTGCCCAGTTTCCCCCAGCACCCGCCGCTTCCTCCCCGGCGTTCCTGCTCAGGAAATGAACTCAACTTCATCCTCCAGCTGCAAATCCTCCACCCAGCACACCCAGCTGCTCCCTCTTCCCACTGCCTTTCCCCCAGGGGGGTGATGGGGCGGGGACCTCCCCCATCATTTGTATTTCAATCCTGTTCCATATGGAACAGCTCGGGAGTGCGGGAGGCCGATTTCCCACTTAATTCCTCTCGGGATTCTCAACCCCCCAGAAAGAAGACAAGCAACCCCTCTTCAGGGCTCCAAACAATCCTGCAGCGAGCCAGGGGGGGATGAAGAGGAGCCGACAGATCCGCAAACTCTTCTAGACAAGAGCGTTTTTAAGGCATTTTAAGAAACACTCGGCTTTTCGGGGACAGGAAAAAAAAAAAAAAAGGCGGTTTAAATTAAGACTGGAAAGCAACAAACCCTGCAAAAATAAAGCTTCTTACCATCCTCAGGCACCCAGGCGGCTGGGAGGGTGGCAGGGAGGGAGGGAGCAGCTTTGCTGGCTGCAGGGTGTTCTGACAGACCCTTCAGAGAGGTGCAACTTTCCCTCCATCGTGTCCCTCCTTCCGCCCCTCCGACCTCAAAACCCGCATCCGGGCTTGTGTTGTAGAGGCCAAACAACAAACTGTAGAAATTAGGGACAATTATTTGGGCAGGGGGACAAAGAAGGGGAGGGAGAGGGGGGGAAAAACGTGCTCCCAGTTGTCTTCAGGAGACAAAATGCTCCAGCTGTAAGAAGCTTTGCATTTAAAACAAGCCTCAGGCAGCATCCTCGGGGCATTAACAGAGGGCTAATTAATGCCTGGCTCCCGTGGAGGAGGCAAGGCCAGGTTTTGGGAAGCTCTGAGGGCGAGCAGAGGCAGGCCCAGCTCTGCAAAAAGCAGCTCCTGCTGTGTCCCAGCGTGGGATCAGCGCCCCGAAATCCCACGGGAGGGATGTGGGGTGTGGGGTGAGGTGCCCACCCCCAGGCTGGTGCTGCTGGTCCAGCCAGGAACGCAGTCCAGGATTCCCAGCCCTCAGTTTGCTGGGATGGTGCATCCCCCCAGGAACAGCAGGGGTTTAATATTCTCTCCACAGAAAGGAACAGAGCTCTTGGCTTTCAGCAGAGCTGCTCTGGCTGTGGGAGCAGCAGCTGCCACCCCCTCCTGCCCACCCCCTCCCCCGCCAAAAGCACCACCCCATCTCTTTCCAATATTTTAATGAGTCGCTACATCTTACACTCATAATTATAAAAGAATAAGAATCCATAAAAATATTTTCTTTTCATAATACGCACTTAAAATACTCCAGGGCAAGTCAACGTGGTTCGTTTTGGGTGGGGTTTGTTTCTGGTTGCGTTTTGCCCCCTGGCAGAACCCTTGGCTTGAAAGGGGGGGGACGTGCTCCCCTGAGGTGTGATTGCTCAATCCCCCCTTCCCCAGAACTGCAGTTCCTGTTGCCCAGGTAAATTAAAAACCAGGAGAGAGCGTTTGCTGAGTGGGTGGGCAAGGGGGACCAGTCACTGACCCGCAGAGAACTGAAGCACAGCCAATTTCAGTGCACATCTGAAAGCTCGGGGTGTGGGAGTGGGGTGGAAAGGAGAAGGTGGGATGGGGAGGCGGCACAGAGAACGGAGGGGAGGGAGGATTTGCATAAATATCATCCATCTCGTGTTGCAAAAAAACCCAAATGCTGCTGCTGTGAGCTCTGGAGAGAGGCTCTGCTTGTAGCCAGCTGCCAGTGCTACCTGTTGTTGGCACAACTCTGCGTGCGAGCGGCCATGAGAGGAAGGATCAGAGGACGCCGGCACCGGCCCCAGCCACTTCCTCCATCTGCTCTGCAAAATGAAACTGCAAAATAGACAGATACGTATATAAAAAAAAAAAAAGAAAAAAAAAAAGAAAAAGACTAGTGTTGCATGCTTCTGTAGAGCTCTCTTCACATCCCAGGGCTCCAAGTGTGGCAGCAGGGCCAGGTCACAGCTCGATCCCCGGGGTTAGCAGTAGGTAGTTCTCTCTTCCCTCCCACTCCTGGCTTAAGGCAGCTTCTGATTCGGCTCTTCTTCCGTTTCCAACACAGGCACTGAGTTCTCGCGGGTTAAGAGTGTGGGAACTGCACAGGGGCAGTGGAAAAGGGGGGAAAAGGATGGAAAAGGACTTGGGGGGAGAGAGAGATGGACACAAACCTCAGCCTCGGGAGACAGACCACTGTCCATTGATTCCCAGGAGAGAGGGAGTAGCAGCAAAAAAAGCATTGAACAGCCAGGCTGGAGGAGAGGAAGAGGACGAGCAGCCGAGCAGGGGCAGACCTCCAGCTTGGAAAGTGAAAGAAGGTGGCACTGTCCAGAAAGGGAAGGTGCCCTCCAGCCTTCCCCTCGCGTTGTGGGGGGGGACACCCAGCCCGCCGTGGGCGCTCAGCCCCTTGTGCTCTGGGTTCGACGGCTGTCGGGGGCGGGAGGGCGCGGGATTGGGGGTGAGCTGTCAGTGTCCAGTTTGCAGAGGCTCGTGCTCTCAGAGGTATTCTTGTAGAAAGTGCAGCAGCGTGATTTCGTAGTGCTCCCCTGACTCAGGGCACCGAATACTGTGTCTCTCGTTGGGGTAGATCTGTGCAGGGGCAGACACGGGGCGGTCACTCAGCGGGGACAAAACTCCCTCACGCCAGCCCTGCCCCCTCCACCCAGTCCCCATCGGGACAAAGAGGTGCCAGGGAGGGTCTGGAGCACCAACCTCCCCCCTCATCCCTGCTGCCACCAGCCAAGTGGGACAGCAACAGCTCGTGGAGAAGGAAAGTTCCAGGCCCAGGGCAGCAGCCCTGCCTGCACGTGGCACATCTGCCAGCGATGGAACAGCCACAGTGCCACCTCCCGGCCTCCACCCAGGTGTCCATTGCCACCCACATCACAACAGGATGTGGGAGCAGCTGCCTCCACCTCCTCCTGCCCCCAGAACACACAGCAGAGAACTCTTCCAGGTCTGTGGGACCTCCCCGCTCCACTCCTGTCCCTCCTACCTGCAGCTGGTAAGGTTTTCCAGCCCGGATTAGCTGCGATACCAGGAAGTTGGTGTGAAAAAAGTGCACGTTTTCATCCAAAAAGCCATGGAGGATCAGCAAACGGTTTGGCCTGGAGACGGGGTGAGAAAACAGGAGGAGAAACAGGATGAGGACAAGTTGGGAAACCACCTAAAAGCTCTGCAGAGGGTCTGAGCAAAGAGCTGCCAGCTCTTTGGGCAAGCCAAAACCGAGCAAGAGCAGTGCCAGGCCATGGCCTCAACCCCTCCCTGGCAGAGGGGGCTGAGGGTGCCATGGCAGCGACCAGCCCTGGGAGTTAAACGGGTCAGAACCCACCCAATTCTTTTGGGATTGAGCAGAGGCGCCACTGGTGGCACCCAGTAGGACCCAGGAGCAGGTTTTGAGCAGGCACTCACTCGTTGGGAAGCTTTTCCACGTGTAATGCCACAGAGCCAGCCTCGTAGCCCTGCTGGTTGTTCTCCGGGATGTCCATGTACCGCTCGGTGTAGCCGGTGTCGTAGGCCATCCACACTGTGACAGGAGCACCTGCTATGGCAATCTGGCACACAGGGAGACAGCAGACAGCCTCAGTTACCACCTGCTGAAGAGTTCAAGTGTTCCCTGTTTTCCTGAGGAGGCAGGAAAAAGCAGGCTCTGGACTGCTCTGTCGCTCAGAGCAGGATTCTCCTTCAGCAAGCCCAAGTAAAGCCCAAGCTTCCTCCTCCTGCTGTTCCCTCTCATGGTCACAATGGGGCAAATTCCTGCACACCAGCACTAAAGGCTGCTCCTTTCCAAGGAGGACTTGTGGAATGATCCAGAAAGCGTGCTGGGGACTTGGGAAGGGGATTGGGAATAGCACATCAATTATCTCACTGGCTGCCCCCAGGGGCCCATCCCAGGGCCATCCTCCTCCAGCCCCAGCCAGGTGTGAGCTTTATCAAGGTACAAGGCTGCAGGACTGAGGGTCACTTCCACCTGTCCGCTCGAAACAAGCCCCAAATCCAACTTCCAGCTGCCAAGAGTGACAAAAGCTGAGAGAGCCACGGTGACAACCCCGTGTCCAGACTCACCTTGAAGACGTTGGGTTTACAGATGAGCCCCATGAGGGACAGAAAGCCCCCGTAGGACCAGCCGTGGATGGCGACCCGGCTCAAGTCGATGAACCCGTATTTTTCTGCTACATAATGTAAACCTTCCACCTGGTCCTCTATCTCCACCTGACCCTAAGAGGCAGCAAAAGGAGGCTCGTGTCAGTGGGATTCCTAAATCTAGAAACCTCACACAAAGGGAACAAGCAGCCAGCACCCTGAGGAAGGGACAAATGGTCAGAGATTCACGAGCACAAGCAGGACGTTACCATTTGGTTTTTTAGGGCCCCTTCAAATTTGAGTCCTCGCTGGCACGATCCCCTCCCATCAATCACCACCACAGCATAGCCCAGGGATGCCAACGTGTTCAGCCTCAGGTACTTGATGCCTTTGAAGGAGTTATTCACCAGCTGCACCTGCACAAGGAGGCAAGAAGAGTTTCAGAGCTGAGCAGTTGCCTTCCAGTACCTTACTGTGTCTGTCCCACTGTGTGGGATCCTGAGCTGGACAGCAGCTGGTAACTGAGCTGTCAGAGCCATGGAAATCAGAGCAAATGTTGGAAAAATCATCTGAGGTTTGAGGCAGAGAACACAGGGATAAACTAAAAGAGAGTAGGTTTAGATTAGGCATTGAGGCAGTTCTTTGCCTGTGAGAGTGGTGAGGCCCTGGCACCGGTTGCCCAGAGTTGTGGATGTCCCATCCCTTGGAAGTGTTCAAGGCCACCTTGGATGGGGTTTGGAGCAACCTGGTCTAGTGGAAGGTGTCCCTGGGCAGCAGGCCCATCCCTGGCACCAGCAGTCCAGCTGGATCATTACCTGGGGGCCTCCATACACAAAGAGCACCGTGGGATGCTTCTTCCCAGGCTGGACATCGTGAGGTTTGTAGACCATTCCGTAGAGCTCGACGTCCGACTGAGTGCGGAAGTGAAAGATCTCCGGAGGGACGTAATCCGGGGGACAACCTGCAAGCAGGAAGGTCACAGGCTGGCAGGGAGGTGACTGGCAGCAGGTCCTGCCTCCCACCCCGCCTGAACAAGCTCCTTCTGCTCAAACCTGACCCTGGTCAGGGCTCTTTCAGCACCAAACCACACCAAAGCCTCTCTCTGGGAAACACAGAGAGCCGACCCGAAGGGATCCCCCAGGAAAACCTGCTGGGAATTCTCCAGCAAGGAACTCTGTGCCACAACAGCACGGTGTGGGAGTTAAGAACATGGATGGAAAAAAACATTTGCAGGAAGGGGTTGGTTCAGGTGCTGCTTTGAGCTGTATCTAAACCTTCAAAGCCCACAGTGCAGAATGGAGCAGCCACTGCACCCCAGGCACTTTTCCCTTCCCCTCTTCAGGCAATTCATGGATAAAAAAACACAACATGGAAGTTGGTTGGACAGGGCTTGGAGCAACCTGGTCTAGAGGGGGTGGAACTGGATGAACTTTGAGGTCCCTCCCAACCCAAACCAGCCTGTGATTCCATGGCAAACCCACAGCTTTGAGGGTGTGCTGCATCCCTGAGCACTGTTTTTGCTGGAAGTGTGGAACAGCAAGACCCCAAAAGCCCACAGAGCGTTTCCTGGGCGAGCTGTCCACGGGACAATCTCCCTCACAGGACAACACAACTCCTCTTCCCTTCAGAGTGAAGCCACTGAGGCCACTTCCCTCCCCAGCACCGCTGGATAACGAGTGTCTCAGCAGCACTGGCACGTTCTCCTGCACTTACTGGCTGCCTCCATCATGCTGGCCCAAAATTTGGGCTGCTTGTGGAGCGGGTCGTCGTCGGGGCCGCTGAGCTTGTAGATGTGCACACAGGGTGGAGTGCTCACACTGCTGTAGTGGCTGATGAACATGTCAAAGTTCTGGGATGGGAGAGAGACAAAGAGTTAGGGCAACCAGCTCTTGCACCTCCCACAGCTCATCTCCTCCACTGCAAGAGCTCCCACGCCTCCAGCAGCCCCCCAGGACTTGTTAAAGGTTCATTTCTAGTGCGGTCCCTGTGAGTCAGGAGGGGAGAATC